ATCAAATGTAGAGGCTTGAGTTATAGTTAGAGGTTGTGTATTAGTTGTTGATCTGCTAACTGTTGTCCATGAAACTTCAGAGAGAACTTCTATTTTGTTGCAATCAAATTTAATTGTTGCTACTGCTTTTATGGAACCACTTAAGGAATGGACGTATATTGACAAAGAAGGTATGAAACTTGGGCCTATGGAAAAGATACTTTTAGAAGGTTGTGGTGCAAGAAGGCTATTGATTGGACAACAGGATTTTGGGCTTTTGGGATGCTAGATTGGAAGAAGTTGCATGATATATGTTAGCTTCGCTGGGCACTAGCCCTTAGAGTTCTAGTCCTTACCCTGCCTCAGGTAGAATCATGTTGTAGTTGGAATATAATATTGATAAATAGTTTTTTTTATTGTGGAAGAACATATGTTAAAGTTTTGATGATATCAAGGCATTGAAGAAAATAAAGATCAAGATAAAGCAAGCTGATTAAGAAGCAAGATCTCAAGTAATAAGTAGATAAGTCGTGACTACTTAGCTTAGTATGTAAAATGAACTTTTAGAATTTGCAAATTTTACGTGGCCATTAAAAAGCTCAAGGAAACATTGTAGTACTAGTATGTTAACTCTATTGTTTGAAATTTTAAATCAACTACGGTTTACTGAATTTTAAGCATTAATGAAGAATTTATCAAATGTAGAGGCTTGGTTTCTAGTTAGAGGTTGTGTATTAGTTGTTGATCTGCTAATTGTTGTCCATGAAACTTCAGAGAGAACTTCTATTTTGTTGCAATCAAACTTAATTGCTGCTACTGCCTTTATGGAACCACTTAAGGAATGGACGTATATTGACAAAGATGGTATGAAACTTGGACCTATGGAAAAGATGTTATTAGAAGGTTGTGGTCCAAGAAGGCTATTGATTGGACAACAAGATTTTTTGGCTTTTGGGATGCTAGATTGGAAGAAGTAACATGATATATGTTAGCTTCGTTGGGCACTGGCCCTTAGAGTTCTAGTCCTTACCCGGCCTCAGGTAGAATCATGTTGCAGTTGGAATATAATATTGATAAATAGTTTTTTTTATTGTGGAAGAACATATGCTAAAGTTTTGATGATGCCAAATCATTGAAGAAAATAAAGGTCAAGATAAAGCAAGCTGATCAAGAAGCAAGATCTCAAGTAATAACTAGATAAGTCTTGACTGCTTAGCTTAGTATGTAAAATGAACTTTTAGAATTTTACCTGGCCATTAAAAGGCTCAAGGAAACATTGCAGTACTAGTATGTTAACTCTGTTGTTTGAAATTTTAAATCAACTATGGTTTACTGAATTTTAGGCATTAATGAAGGTTTTATCAAATGTAGAGGCTTGAGTTATAGTTAGAGGTTGTGTATTAGTTGTTGATCTGCTAACTGTTGTCCATGAAACTTCAGAGAGAACTTCTATTTTGTTGCAATGAAACTTAATTGCTGCTACTGCTTTTATGGAACCACTTAAGGAATGGAGGTATATTGACAAAGATGGTATGAAACTTGGGCCTATGGAAAAGATGCTATTAGAAGGTTGTGGTTCAAGAAGGCTATTGATTGGACAACAAGATTTTGGCTTTTGGGATGCTAGATTGGAAGAAGCTACATGATATATGTTAGCTTCGTTGGGCGCTAGCCCTTAGAGTTCTAGTCCTTACCCCGCCTCAGGTAGAATCATGTTGTAGTTGGAATATAATATTGATAAATAGTTTTTTTTATTGTGGAAGAACATATGCTAAAGTTTTGATGATGCCAAAGCATTGAAGAAAATAAAGGTCAAGATAAAGCAAGCTGATCAAGAAGCAAGATCTCAAGTAATAACTAGATAAGTCTTGACTGCTTAGCTTAGTATTTAAAATGAACTTTTAGAATTTGCAAATTTTACCTGGCCATTAAAAGACACAAGGAAACATTGTAGTACTACTTTTTTAACTCTATTGTTTGAAATTTTAAATCAACTATGGTTTACTGAATTTTAGGCATTAATGAAGGTTTTATCAAGTGTAGAGGCTTGCGTTCTAGTTAAAAGTTGTGTATTAGTTGTTGAGCTGCTAACTGTTGTCCATGAAACTTCATAGAGAACTTCTATTTTGTTGCAATCAAACTTAATTGGTGCTACTTCTTTTACGTAACCACTTAAGGAATGGACGTATATTGATAAACACTACTACAAAATTACTGTTTTACATCATTAAATCTACATCTACAAACAATGTAAATAAGAAACGTGGTGGCAATTTTGTAAATAAATTGAATATGTAAACCATTTTACATCGGGTCTATTTCTGACCGATGTAAAAATTGAATGACAATATTATTCGACATCGTGTTTTGCATTTAACCGATGTAAAATTGATGCCAAATTTTCGCGCCCCCTTCACCCTCTGGACACAACACTCTGGTGAGCACTCTCGCGGGCTTTGGTTTAGCTTCTTCAACTTTGGTGGACACACATCGCCCTCTCCAACCTCTCCCTCCCCTCCGACTACGCCGTCGCCATGGTCTTCTCGCACCTCGCCCACAGTCTCTCCGCCAAAACCCTAGCCTCCTGCTATTCCCTCGAACCCTACCTCGTCTCCAAAATCACCAACATGGTCACGCGCCTCCTCGCCTTCAAGCTCTACCCGGAGTTCATTAAGATCTCGGTGGGGCGGTGGCGCCTCCTAGAAACCACCCAGGCCTTCAAGGAACTCACCTCCGTCCCCAACATGTGCGGCGCCATCGACACCACCCCCGTCCACCTCTTCTCCTGCCCTAACCCCAACACCTACCGCTGCCGCTACGACTTCCCCTCCCTCCTCCTCCAGGTCATCTCTGACCACAAGAAGATCTTCTGGGACGTCTGCGTCAAGGCCCCCGACACCACCAACGATGCCTGATGGAGGACCATCCTTGGTACTTCATGTGAAACCCATTTAGTATGAATTTGATCAAATATGCTTCAATTTCTTTCACATCCTTTAGTACTACAAGTGAGACTCAAAACTCTCATTGCTAGTTTTTGTAACTCTGGACATTCCCCACCATAATTTTCCCCCCAAATAGCTGAAATATCAAAACAAAAGCCAACTTAAATAAATATTATCTTGGCTGCCATGCTCTTTTAAAATTATAAGAGATAAGCAAATCTTTAGGGGGAGAATTTAAGAGAGGAAGATAAGCCCCTCATATTACCAAATTTGTCCTTTGGACCAAAAATTAGAAAAACTACTATTGAACTAGAAATTGGAAAAAATACTACTACTATTTGTGGAGCCAAGGCTGAAGAGGAACAAGTAGAGGAGAATCAAATCCATGCACCAGTAGGAACAGTAGCTGGTGCAGGACTATGATACAAAATTTTGAAAAATTTTGGTGTACACACGAAGAGGAAAGGCCATTCCAAGATCTACTCATGTCCAAGAATCCAACCCTACATCATTACATGCAATAAATCCTTTTGATCCTATAAATTCTAATTCTGCTAATTGTGATGAATTTCCTTTAGAAAAACTAGCTGCACTAGTGGACCATAACTTAAAAAAGGCACTTATGGGTTGAAACAATCACCTAGAGCGTGATTTGGGAGATTCATCAAAGTCATGACAAACCTTAGATACAAATAGAGCCAAGGGGACCACACTTTATTTGTCAAACATTTTGATTCAGGGGGAGTAACAATATTTTTGGTCTATGTGGATGATATGATTGTCATTGGGAATGATAAAAAGGAACAACAAAGGTTGAGTCATTGCCTTGCCATGGAATTTGAAATGAAGATCTTAGGGAAGCTAAAATATCTTTTGGGGATTGAAGTGGCCAATTCCAAGAAAGGGGTCTTCATATCTCAACAAAAATACATTACTGACTTACTTGAAGAAACAGGTAAGAAAGCCTCCAAAACCAACAAGTACACCAGTTGACCCAAATATAAAGTTGGGAAGTGTGGAGGAGGATGTTGTTGTGGATAAGGAAATGTACCAAAGACTTGTGGGCAAACTCATTTACCTATCTCACACTAGGCTAGATATTACCTTTGCTATGAGTCTACTCAGCCAATTTATGCACCAACCAAAGGAAGCACATTTACGAGTTGCCCTTAGAATTGTCAATATTTAAAAGGGACGTCAGGAAGAGGAATTTTGTTCAAACAAAACAAGAATGTTAGTCTTGAGGCATATACGAATGCTGATTATGTGGATTTAGTTGTGGATAGGAAGTCAACTACTGGATATTGCACCTTCCTTGGTGGAAACCTAGTAACTTGGAAGAGCAAAAAACAAAGTGTGGTAGCTAGATTTAGTGCTAAAGTAGAATTTTGAGCAAAGGCCCAAGGAATTTGTGAATTGTTATGGCCGAAGATTATATTGGAAGACTTAAGGATAAAGTGGGATGAACTTATGAGGTTATGTTGTGACAATAAATTGCAATTAGTATAGCCCACAATCCGGTAAACATGATAAAACTAAACATATTGAATGGACAGACATTTTATCAAAGAAAAGCTTGACAGTGGCTTGATTTGCATCCCATATGCGTCCACTCAAGGTCAACTTGCAGACATACTCACCAAGGGCTGAACAATTGTAACCTTGAAAGAATTATATCCAAGCTGGGAATGGAGAACATTTATTCACCAGCTTGAGGGGGAGTGTCAAAATATATTTTAGGAAGCTTTAGATATTATTCTTATTGTATTTTAATTTTTTATATTTGTTGTATCTTGCTATTAATACTAGGTTTGTATATTTAGAAACAATCCCACAATCACCGGGATTTGTTCCCTAGAATAACAATCCCACAATCATAGGGATTTGTCCTTTAGAATAGGTTGTTCCCATTTTCTAAAATAGCCAACAGGCTCATGTATAAGTCTGATGTATCTCATGATTAAAATAATATACGAAACATATGATTTCTTCTACATTTGAGAAATCTATATCCTAGAGTCTCTATACAATCAAAAAACAACTTTATAAAAGTTGAACGACATATATAAAAACAACTTTTCTAACACTTTCTATTATATGATGCTAGAAGAAATATAATTGTGGCAAGAGAGGATATATTAATATGAATTTTTATTTTTTTCAGGTTGAGTTTGTTGGTGGTCCAATGTGTTGGAATACCCGCCTTTTCTCTGCAACTGCAGGTGAAAGAAATTTTCCTAACTTCCATCAATCCCTTAAAGAAAATAAAAATGAAGTATAGGCTACATTATACTTTTGATGTTTTTCTTTCAAAATATTCATTGCAGTCTTTTATCTTTTAAATTTGACTCAATTTGATCCTTCCAAAACAATGATCTTTTTCGAGTTTGTGACAACTTTGGATTATTTTTTATGGATTCAAGATGTGAAATTTGTCTCATTAATTTCACCTACATGAGAACTGTTGAACTCTATTGATGTTCAAACCAAAAAGACATAAACATGATGAAAATTGCATTAAAATGAGTTCATTGAGCCGTCAGAAAATAAAAAATCTAATATTATATTCTTTTCTGGTTGCTCATGGGATTTTTTTGCATGATGTTTACTTTGTTTATAGCCATTTTAAGTTTGAGCATCAATTGGGTTTCACAGTTTTCATGTAGATAAATCTAATATAAGTCTCCCATCTTGAATCAATTAAAAGAATATTCAAAATTTTGATCTAATTTTCCCAAATTTAAAAGATAAAAGACTAAAATTATAATTTAACCTTATGTATGATAGTTTATTTTCTGCAAAATTTATCAATAATTTCAAATTTCTATGCTAATACAGTTCACTTATAGGTGGTGGAGCATTCTGCAATGGCCAAAGGATCCAAGTGAGTGCAACGAATCAGGTGATTAGCGAAAAATTGATACCTTGAGTACAGAAAGTGAACAGCAATATTGTTCATCGTGATTTGAGGCTTTTATAGAACAACCTAAAATACTATTTATCTGGTGTTTCATGATTGTTTAATGTTTTAAGTAATATTCCTTTGTTTTAGGTGGAACGATCTCTTCTAGTTACAGGCTTTGGGTATGATCACGATGATGCGTGGGCTACTAACATAGACTTATTCAAAGAATTTACGGATGTCAGCAGGGTATTCATCTGAAATCTATTTGAATGAACCTCATATCTCTTCCTTTCACTTCATTTTCTTGACTTTGATGTTTAGGGTGTAAGACGGCTTGGTGCAGCTGCTGTGGACATGTGTCATGTAGCATTGGGAATTGTAGAAGCTTATTGGGAATATCGTCTAAAGCCATGGGATATGGCTGCTGGTGTTTTGGTATGGTTTATGAGTTTCACATCATTGATAATTATTCTGACAAGTTAGTAAGCTTAACATCTTTGGGATTGAATGATGTTTGGATTTAACATGGGAAGAGTAATTTGTCATGTTTCACATCCTTTAGTACTACAAGTGAGACTCAAAACTCTCATTGCTAGTTTTTGTAACTCTGGACATTCCCCACCATAATTTTCCCCCCAAATAGCTGAAATATCAAAACAAAAGCCAACTTAAATAAATATTATCCCACCATCCTCCCTTTATCTCTCATATTTGCCCAAATCAACCCATTTACGCCCACCTTCCTTTTTCCTCAGCCTTGAAGGAACATACACCCTTAAGGTCATCCTTGTGGCCTTAGCAAGGAGATTCTTCCCACCTTGGACGTCCATGATCAACCCCTTGGTGGAAGGAGCCCATCAATGCCACCCACTTTCGCGTCAACCTCCTCTACCATCGGCTCACCTCGACGATGTCATCTGGGATAAGCTCATGACCGTCCGTGGGCACCACGTCCGGCCTTACATGGTGGGAGACTAGTGCTTCCCCCTCTTTTCCTTCCTCTGACCCCATTCTCCCCGAGCGGCATGGGCACACCTATATAAAACCCTTTTACACTTTGGTTGTTGAGGAATCCAGCAGTGCTCTTGAATCTGAGAGGTAAAATGAACAATAGTTTTGTATCGTTGCTTGATGTTTTGGGTGATTCATGAATTTTGAGAAATATTTCAATTGAGTTGAGAATGGCATAGGGCCTTTTTGATGTTTTATCATGTATCCAATTTTTTTGACTTGCATAAGCCTTATGAATAGCATTTCAATGTTATGATAAGAGCCAAAACAAACTCTAAGTCTTGATTATGTGCATGGATTTTTACCTAAAAGGAGCCTCCTCTATGTCATACATAATATATTCTCTCTTTTGCTTGCAGTTGTTGATCTTACTTTATTGCCTGACGAGCAAATTTTGAATGGAAATCAACCTGATATGGATGATTTTCTACCTTCTGAGAATCAAGATGAAGAGGCAACTGCAATGGTTGAAGAATCCCCTTCAGGTATTTAAATAATAAAAACAAAAATATCTTAAACATATTTTCTCAATTATAGTTTTTAAGAGATATTGTACTGTTGGGGTTATTTTATGGTATTTGTCTGAGAGGATATTTTATGAGTTATTTTTATAAGGTTATTACAGAAATATACTCCACAATGATGAGATATTGTCCGCTTTGGGCCTTAGCCCTCACGGTTTTACTTTTGGTCATTACCCAAAAGGCCTCTCAATCATTGAAGTATGTTTGTATTATATAAGTTGTTATTTGTTGTATTATTTTATCGATGTGGGACTTGTTTGAATCCCAACAATCCTCCTCTCAAACAAGGAACCTAACCTTTCATGCAGCGGAATCTGTCTTTATATGGCACATTATATTTTATGAGTTATGAGGGGTTATAGGGTTATTGGTTGTCACCGAATCCAACCTGCGGCTCTGATACCACTGATGGGGTTATTTTTATGGTATTTGTCTGAGAGGATATTTTATGAATTATTTTTATAAGGTTATTACACAAACATACTCCACAATGATGAGATATTGTCCGCTTTGGGCCTTAGCCCTCACGGTTTTGCTTTTGGTCATCACCCAAAAGGCCTCTCAATCATTGAAGTATGTTTGTATTATATAAGTTGTTATTTTTTTATCATATTTTATCAATGTGGGACTTGTTTGTATCCCAACATGTACCATGGTTATCAAAATCAAATAATTCATATACCAATTGTAATTATTGTATGGTTTGGTGACTTTTGTTTGAGTCAATGGATGAATGATATGGATTGATGCTTGAATCACCAGCTGGCCAGAATCACATGATCTGGTGTGGAAATTGTGAGTTGTGGCCTGTATGACGATTAGGCTGCTACTACAACCATGCATTTCACAAAGTCGGGCTATGAATAACTTAACATGACCTTAAGCTGAAAAATATCTAATTTTTTATTTTTTGGGTAGAGAGAAAAGAAGAATGGTGCATTTTGGCTTTTCTATATTTCCAAATTTCAACGGATGTTGCCTTTTTGATACCATTATCAATGAAGATTGATTTGTGTTAGTGTGGGGGAATTCTAAGAAACAAAGAAACATGCTCAAATATGACTGTATAACATGATTTTGCCTTTTAATTTATGAATCATGTAATATACATATTGAGTCATTGATGATTCAAAAGTTAAATTGGCGATTCACCCTCTTCTCCCATCTATTTATTTATTTTTTTGGTTGCATTTGTTGCTATTTATTGAGTCACAGATTTCCTTTGGGTTTGAAAAACATGTTTTTTTTAATGAAGTTCTTGAATATAGGACACTTTGTAGGCTTTTGGGGCTTAATAGGAACAATACTAATTTGGAAACCTTGGAGAATTTCCTACACGAGGTACTTGAACATAATTACAAACTGGCTAACAATGTAGTGAATGTGACAAAGTTCTGTCAGTGGCTCAAGGCTAGGCTAGCAGGTGCGTTGTGACCTTTTTTTTATATTGTTAAGTTTATTTACTATTGCAATTACTAATATAATTTTTTATCCTAACTTGACTAAAGGACTGTAACTTACAAGGGAATAAAAAGAAAGTAATGGCTCTTATTGTCAAAGTATTCCGTTTTGTTTAAAAATTCATTTAAAAGATAGATTTGGATCAAGTCATGCAACATGTTTTATTCAGGTGCTTACTCTAAAGAACTATTTTTAGATGTCTCAACTGAATTTCGGATATGTTGATGATGTCTTGGTTTAATTCTCTGCTAGGTCATCTGTCTCATTCTGCTAAAATTTGGTACTTGGAATTCATATGTATCCAATATATACATGGGAGACAAAGTGCCAAATTAATAACACAAAATCAATTTGATGAGGGAATTTTGTTAAATATCATTTGTTATCAAAAAGTTTTCTAACGAGGATTTGATATATTTTTTCTTTTCCTTTTTCAGAAAAATTGCTTGCTTCTTACCAAATTGCAACATATTTCTTGACTTCTTGTGATTTTTTTATGTATCATTTTTTTTATATCTTCCTTGTGAAATTGCCTAATACATTCAAGCTACATGTTTTTATCAACCATACGTAGGGTTATAAAAGAATGTATTATATTTTGTGCATATGATGAACAACAATACAAATTTGTAGGTAAGAATGTATCGTATTGAGCTCTGTGTAATGAAATAGAACATTTTTGAAGAAATTTGAGCCATGTGTCCTTTATATGAATTTGCTGCCTTAATGAAAGATAAAAGAATTTTCTCACAGCACCTTCAACATGCATAAATCATTGTCGAAATTTCACAAGACAAGGTAAGTATGTGTTATTCTATAAAGAAAAGGTTTAGTGAAGCGACCAATGATTTTACAATAATAAATGCTAGACTAATGTATTTTCTGATCTGTTATAACTTTTCATGTTGTTGGTGTTTTTGTTCTTGAATGCATGCATGTGTGGTTATGCATCCTATAGATGAACATAATTTCTTTTTCTTTTTCTTAATATTCATTTCTAATCGTTTTCTGATGTTTTATTATAAATTTTGGTTAAAAGGCTAAAGACATCAAGTGTTAAACCATTGAGCATTATCTTTGTTGGCATATTACTAACAGGTATGATACTTTTGCACACCTCCAATTTTTGGTATTTTTTTGTTTAATTGAATTGTTGTCTCTTCTACAAAGCTTTATCATTAACAACAAAAATTTAATAGAAATTATTGGTAATCTAATATATTTATTTTCCTAACATTCATTATTTTTCTATTAGTGTTTATTCTTTTATTATATCTTTCTGCTTCTCTTTGTTAATTATTCCTTCAATTACACCAATATGCGTTGTTATTTTATTTATATTTTTTGTATTCAAACCTTGACAGCAAAAGCAGAGAGACATGTGTAAATTATGTTATCTACTAATTTTTAATTTCCATTATAGTTTGTAATTTGCATTATAGTTTGTAATTTGTATGTTTTCTTGTTTTTTGAACTGAATCATCTAATTAGATGAACTAGTCCATTTAAGAAAATAAAGCACTCCATGGCCTTACTTTTTTTATTTTAAGAATCTAAGTTTAGTTTAACTCAATCCCTGAAAAACTGGTTTATTTTAGTCTTCATTAGTCTATGTAGGATTTCTAACATTCCTCTGACACTAAGATTGCAGCGTCAAGTTTATTGAACTAACTATCTGCAAGTGATCTTATAGAATAATAATTAGGGTAGGCTCTGAATTTGATACTGTCTTCAAAATGCTAGAGATCCTACATAATGATATGTCAAATAAAGTATATAATAAGCTGATTTTGTAGAGGTGAATTTGAACATAATGTAATAGTATGCGGATCATTTGGTTTATTTGATTGTTTATATTGATATTGCTTTTTGATGTCATAATTTAACCAATGTTGTATTGTATCTGCAGGTGATGGAATTTCTGACATCACTTGCGGGATGGAAATCAAGCATTCAAGGTCGCTAAAAAGCTTTACATGGTGTATATATTGGAAATTCCTTATTTATTGTATTTATACTTTTGTATATTTGGTTTATTTGATTGTTTATACTTGTGTGGTAGCTATAAATTCCTGGCTGAGAATTATATATATTGGAAAGATTAAGGAAAATCTGCTCAGAGGGTTTTTTTTGTTCCCCCATTAGAAGTTCATATTATTGTATTTATTTCATATTCTTTCTTCAGTTTGGTTACTGCTCCTAACCAGCTCCTTGGGGATTAAATATGAAATATGAAATTTCTAAAGCTATATATATGTTCATTTCAGGTAATCAGAAATAATCCAAAAATAAGCATGATTTTTTTTAATGCAATCTACATTGGTTCTCAAGAAAACTGATGTAGATTTATGCTTAAATCTATATTGGTTGTCCAGAGAACCGATGTAGATTTATGCTTAAATCTACATCGGTTATTCAAAACTAATGTAAAAATGTATACATTTTCTACATCGCTCTATTCTACATCGATTTTAGAACCGATGTAGATGACTTTAGAGAACCGTTGTAGAATATGCATCTTGTAGTAGTGAAAGATGGTATGAAACTTGGGCCTATGGAAAAGATGTTATTAGAAGGTTGTGGCCCAAGAAGGCTATTGATTGGACAACAGGATTTTTGGCTTTTAGGATGCTAGATTGGAAGAAGTTACATGATATATGTTAGCTTCGCTGGGCACTAGCCCTTAGAGTTCTAGTCCTTACCCCGCCACAGGTAGAATCATGTTGTAGTTGAAATATAATATTGCTAAATAGTTGTATTTATTGTGGAAGAACATATGCTAAAGTTTTGATGATGTCAAAGCATTGAAGAAAATAAAGGTCAAGATAAAGCAAGCTGATTAAGAAGCAAGATCTCAAGTAATAACTAGATAAGTCTTGACTGCTTAGCTTAGTATGTAAAATGAACTTTTAGAATTTGAAAATTTTACCTGGCCATTAAAATAAGGATTTCAAGAAAACCTAAACTTAATCTTTTTGAATAGAAGAATAAGTTTTTTGAAAAGAAAGCAAAAAGAGTATTCAAGAGATTAAACAAAAATATTTTTAACTGAAAAATAGAAGCTTTCTATATCTTAAGTTTTCATAAGATAATTTTGGTATTATCAGTCTGGAAATCGATTACCATTACATGTAATTGATTACCAGAGGATGAAAACTTCTCTGTTTAAAATTGAAATGTTAAACGTGCTCTGGTAATCGATTACCAGTTCTTGTAATCGATTACTAGAAGATGAAACTTCAAAATTTGAATTTAAATTATACTACGTTTCAAACATTTTGAACTTAAACCGTTGTAATCGATTACCAAGTCTTGTAATCGATTACCAGAGCCTATTTTCTGAAAAATTATAGAAAGTTACAACTCTTCATTAAAAGACATAACCTAAGAAACAATTGTCTATAAATACCTATAATTTTTCAGAGAAAGGTTACGAACTCTATTGTGAAAATCATTTACAAAAATTACTTGGTCAAATCTTAAGAGTTCTTTAAGATCATCAAAGTGTAATATCTACTCTTCAAAGAGAGTCATTCTGTAAAACTCAATTGATCATTGGATCTGTAAAGGAGAAAGAGTTTTTCTCCTTGTTGGTTTTTGAATCTCAACACAAGGAAAGGGAGTTCCGAGGTGTTGGAGGATTCAAGTCTTGTAAGGTTTACAAGAGTAGTGGAAATCTCAAGTGGGAGACTTGAGGACTGGATGTAGGCAGGATTGACCGAACCAGTATAAAATCAAGTTTGCAATTCTTCTTCCCTACACTTTTATTTATTTGTTATTTAATTGTGTTTGAGTTGTTCTACATCATCATTCTTTACATACAAATTTTTCTAAGGAAATAAATTGATAAGAAAGTAATTGGAAAATTTTTTACAAGAGGAAAATTTAGAAAACTTAATTCACCCCCCTCTTAAGTTATACGAGGCTAAGTGACTAACAAGTGGTATCAGAGCAGGTTTCTCTTATAAGGCTTAAAAGCTTCAAGGATTGAAATGGTCTCAACAAATTTTTTATTTTCCGAAGGAAACTCCATTAATAGACCTCCAATATTCAATGGTGAAGGGTATCATTATTGGAAATCTAGGATGCAAATTTTTATAGAAGCCATAGATTTAAACATATGGGATTCTGTTGAAAATGGTCCTTTCATTCCCACTATTGTAGTAGGAAATGAAATTAGAAATCTACCCAAAGATCAATGGAGTGATGATGATAGAAGAAAATTTCAATACAATTTGAAAGCCAAAAATATAATACCTTCTGCATTAGGCATAGATGAATATTTTAGAATTTCAAATTGTACAAGTGCAAAAGAAATGTGGGATACATTCACTACTACAGGATGTATATTCTACATCGGTTCTGCAAATTCATCTACATCGGTTCTAAAATCGATGTAGAATATAACGACTTAAAAAATGTACATTTCTACATCGGTTTTCTTGAGAACCGATGTAGATTGCATTTTTTTTAAATTGTTTTTTTTATTCGTTCTGATTACTTGTAATGAACATATATAAAAATTTTAAACAAATTTTTCGTCTATATATAATGGACAAATATTGTCAATTAATATTAACTTAGCCACCAAATTACAATAACAAAAATCACACAAACAAATTATCAATTTTAATATATCAAATATAGGCTGGGGCTTTACTTTTCTTTTTAACAGATAATGCATATGTAATACTCTTTTTTTTCATTTTTTAAATGTGTCCTTTAATTTTGATTTCATTCTGCATTAATCTCTTAAACAGTAAATGATGGAATAACACTAAGGCCAAGAAGACCAAGAGGTGATATATCGCAGGAGGCAAGAGGAATGGGTTAGTATTGAATAACCTACTTTTGGGCCTTACCTCCTAAGTTTTTATAACATTTATTTTTATTCCTATTTTTTTGCCCTTTTCTTTAATTTCCTATTTTACCCTTGTATTTTGGGGTATCTTAGTCATAGGATTTATTTTCATTTGTATTTCGCATTTTACCCTTGTATTATGGGGTGCTTTAGATCATAAGTTTTTAATTTTGGGCTAAGGTATTTAATTAGGGAGCTAGACATATTTTTGGTGGTGTTTGGACCTATTTTTGGACTTAGAAAGGCTTAGGCCCAAGTGGAGGGCAAAGGTTGCATGGTCTTATCATGCACCTGCATGTACCCTAACTAAACCCAAAGATTTCATCCTTGGCCACCAAGTTGCATCTAGGGTTCATTTGCGTTTCATTTGGTGTGCATTTGGCACCCTAAATGCAACCCTAGATGCCTCCCACTCCTATAAATACCCTAGGCACCACACCTTGTAAATACTTTGGATTATATGAATTTGAGTGAGCATTTTTGCCTCAAATCCTCTCCTTAGTCACTAGGTCAATTCGGCCTACCTCTCTTATCTCCTCCTTAGAGTGAGTTTAGGGATACCTTGAATGGCCTTCACCTCCACTTAGTGAAGAGAGTCAACTAGAACACCCAAAACACCATCCTCCCATCATTTCTCATATTCGCCCAAGCCATCACCATCCACGCCCACCTTCCTTTTTGCCTCACCCTTGAAGGAAATCCACCCACTAAGGTCACTATCTTGGCCTTGGCAAGGAGCTCCTCTTCACCATTGACGTTTGTTCATCCCCTTGGTGGAAGGAGTCCATCAGTAAAATTAATTAACACAACCGCTATTTTCAGATATTACTTCTACTAACATAGACAAATTGTTCTTAAATGGTTCCTACGTACTCCTAATGATGATTTGTTATGAAATGAATGATCTAAAATTATAAAATTAGAGTTTAATTAAAATATATATACATATATATATATATATATATATATATATATATATATATTGATATATTAATGAGGATTTCAATATGCACTCATTACTATATAATAACTAGAAAACAATGTGCACTTTGATCATAAACTTCTTTTAGTTTTAACTTAGTATTTAGTACTGCAGTAATAATCATGAGTTCAACAAATTACTCAAAATGATAATATTAAAACACCATATCACTCAAAATGATAATATTAAAACACCAAATTCAGGTTTTGAAAAAGATTTAAAAATTAACAGTTTTCAAGAATTTTAAAAAATTATAGAGATGCAAGAAAAAGAGATTAGATAACAAATTGCTCTAACATCTAACAATATAATAAGAAAACTATAGATATGGAAGAATAAGGATTAACTAATTTTGGAAAATATTTTTTTATTCATCATATAGATATATCATGCATCAGCCACTATCAAGATTGCATGCAACGCCAGAGCTACGAATCAATGATGCAGTATTGAATTATTGTGCCTGGTGCTAAAGCTATACATAATTAGAAAAATTCAACTTAATCAATTATTCACTACATTAAAACGAAGGTATTATATAATATATAAAATTATCTATTTTGTGCATAAAAATTAAACTTTAATTATCTGGTATATTCATATAATACAATCTCAACATGAACAATTTATCAAATCTATTAACCATGTTGAATAGTCCTCAGCACCAGTCATGGATCCAATTTTGGATCGTGAGACATAAGTTTTGGAAGGGAAGGGCAGGGTAGACATCCAGAAATTTCATTTAGTTAGAAGCACTCAAACTTGGTCTATGCTACAAATAGACTTAAAAGATTAAAGTGGTAAGCTATCTGGGCAGCAAATAATGACAAAATACCACTACTAGCACCAACATCAACTACTACATGACCAATGAAATCTGCACAATTCTCCATAATTGCAGCATAATAGGTTCCTAAAACAAAAACATCAAGAATTCCTCAGTAAATATATGGGTACTGGTAGAATTAAAAAAACAAAATAACTAAACAAAAGACCACTAGAATACAATTATGTGTAACCTGTCCTCACATAGTCCTGCAACATATTTTGCTGATGCAAAAGTTGTCCATAATAATGAAAATACATTTTTGTAGAAGAAGACTCTATCTTTTCATCAAATTTTCTTTTAGAATTTATTACAATAGTTCCATTTGGCAAGCTTCCTCCTACATCAAAACAATCAAATATGTAATTAAACACATATTACCAATAAAAAAACCAATGTAAGAATGCATGCAGTAAAAAAGAAACTTAGGATCAAACAAAATAAACACAGAAAAGTACAATTAATACACAACTGTATGTATATATGATCATGAACAAGGTTGAAAATGAAAAACTTTTAACCAATAGAAAATATTTAATGGTCCAACCCCAAA